CCCAGACTTGTATATATTCATTTAACTCAATAGTTATTCAGTGTTTATAACATTGTAGGCACTGTTCAGGTTCTGGAGAGATAGCAAAGAACAAAAGAAACAAAATTCCTGTTCTCATGAACCTTACTTTCTTGTGGGGGAAGATATACAAGAGAAAAATAAACAAATAGATAAATTATGACAGATGGTGATAAGCACTGACAGTGGGAACTGTTGCTGCTTTAAGTAGGTTAGTTTAAACACACACAGAGAGAGAAGATGACCTTTGAGCAGAAGCCTAAAGAGAAAGAATTTGAATAACTTTGGGAAGACTGTTGCAGGCAGAGAAATAAGCAAGTGCAAAAGCTCTGACATACGGGCATGTCTAGTATGTTTCAGGATCAATGTAGGGACCAATGAAACCAGAGCATAGTAAGTAAGGAGAAGAGAAGTCTGAGGCAAGAAAGATCAAAAGGGAGACAGTACACATCCTATAGACCAGCGGTCTCCAACCTTTTTGGCATCAGGGACCGGGGCTCCTATGAGAATCTAATGCCTGATGAACTGAGGTGGAGCTGAGGAGGGGAGGCTGACCTGCTGCTTATCTCCTGCTGTGTGGTCCGGTTCTTAACAGGCCACGGATCGGTACTGGTCCATGGGCTGGGGATTAGGGACCCTTGATCTAATAGTTGGCAACATACTTGATAGCAGAATGAAGCTAAGTAATTAGTCTTTGACCAACTGCTCTGGGTGTGGAGGCCTCCCTTCCAACCATGACCCACAAGCCCTTCTGAGTGTGCCCTGTTCACCTCCCTGGACTCTTGCCTCAGGGCCCAAGGAGCCCCTGGGTGCCTCACAGCCTCTACTCTGGGCAGAGTGTTGGACCCACCTGCAGGGCACTGGCCCCTACTGTGAGGGGTGACCCACCAGGCCTACAGGACATTCCCTGGAGCCCAGCTCTTTGCTTATGAACATGATTACGCTTGTCCTGCTAGCTCGTCGTAACACCTGCATCCCTAGCGAGAGGGAGGCACAGAGGAAAGGAATGGCAGGAAGCCTGGGAGGGACGCAAGGAGACAGAAACCCACGCTGGTGGGTGGCCGTGTTGGACCCATACGACATGGTCAGGCGCCCCAGACCTGCTCATGGAGAAACGGCCTAAGGGTGCCATGTTTCTTTCTCCGCCAGGCCCCTGTGCTGACTGCCCCTCCTCTCGGCCAGTGAGGGGACTTGACCAAGGGCCTGACTCCTGGCCCCTGGCCAGTGCCCTTGCCCTGAGCCTGCCCAGCTCAGCAGAGATTGCTGGGCTATAGAACACATGGCCCAGAATAGTGCTATGATGCTGACGGGTGACATTCTATCACTGGGCCACCGTGGTGTGTGGCGCCTCCCATCCCCAAAAGGAGAAACCCAAGAACTCCAGGCACCCCGGTGCCAGTCCAGGCAGAAGGGTACGTGGCTGTGTGCGCGGAGCCAGCGCACTGTGCCTCTGGATTCCTTCTCTCCTGGGCTGCCACTCCTGGTGGGCCCTGCTTGCTTTGTTTTTGTGGGTGGCCTGTGGCTGCCCAGGAAAGCCCCGGCTCCCACCGCCCAAGGAAGAAGCCCTGCGTGGGGGACAAAGGAAGAGCAGCCAGGCTCTAGCCAACCTCCACCTCAGGCCTCTGAGCATACCATCCGAGAGGCCCCTGCTCTGGGGACTGTCCCTGACACTGGCCTTTCTGGGGCAGGCCTGTGTCCCCAGGCCTTCCAGGCTGTGCTCTGGGTGTTCTCTTAGAAGCTGGTGCCAGCACTGTGCAACCTGGGCTTGGCTCTACTGGCTACAGTGTGCCTTATGGGGTAGGGGCTGTGCCAAGAACCCAGGCCAGGCGGGCACAGGTAGACATACACAGCACCCTTACCTGGAGTGCACCCCCTGCTGCTGACACAGGAATTCGGCACGAGGGGCAGTCGGGGCACCCTAGGATTTCCTGGCTCCCCTGGGAGGGGGTCTGTCAGGTGCTCTGCGGCCTGCAGGTGCTTGGCAAACGCTCCACTCTGGGAGCACAGATGCTACCTTGGTTGGCCTGCTTCAGGAACCCAGTCTAAGGACAGCTGGGGTGACAGAAGTACTTCAAAGGCGGGGAAAGGGGCCAGGCTGAGGCCTTCCACCTGGTTGCTTGGGCCCCCCCACCCTTTCCAGCCCAGGACCTGGGGTTGCCACAGGCCTTCACCGGAAGGAAGAAAAGCAGAAATAAAGAAGCCCCAGGCTTAGAGGGGGCACAGAGAAGCAGGACCTGGGAACTGACTGAAGGTGGCCCCTCATGACTCCCTTTCTGTTCTGTCTCCAGTGCTACCCCAAGTGCAGCGACACACAGAGCCATATTGCACAGTGTTTCTTTAATTGAAAGACAACGACTGACCTCAGAAGCAGCCCCTCCTCAAGCTGGATGTGATTGCTCAAAACCCCACACCAAAGGCCGGAAGCGAGGGGAAGGGAGACATAGCCATCATGGGGGAAGGGGGACAATGAAAAGCATGCTTGGGACTCCAGTGGGATGCTGGGCCCCTCCTGGGGGCCAGACTCCCAGGGTCTGACTGAGTCCAGTGCTTGCTTTCTTAACTGGAGCATGTATGGGGTGCAGCACCTCCACTGCCTCCTCCAGGACCATCCAGGCTTGGGGGAAAGGCCTGGGCAGATGCCCCTCACTCCCCAGCTTGCCTGGGTAAGGGCTGGGCAGGGACCTAGTATGACAGAGACCAGACCCAGCCCAAGGATGTGAGAGAAGAGAGAGAGGATGAGAGACAGAGAGAGAGAGAGAGGAAGAGAACTGGTCCAGAGGCCAGTAGGGCAAGGAGGCTCAGGTGAATGCGCCATGACCTTGCATAAAGGTGGGGGGCCTTGGGAGGCCAAGGGTAACAGAGCAGGCTAAGAGGGCTGGAAGCTGGAAGTTCATGAGGAGGAGGAATGTGCACCAGTCAGGTGCGATGGGCTCACTGTCTACATCCCTGCTTGTCCCCTCCTGCCCCCCAGACCCAAGGAGTTGTTTCTCCGGAATGGAGCCTGGACAATTTGGTTTCAGGGTGAAATGGAGGAAAACTTGGTGGGGATGCCTCTCAGCAGCTATGATGTGGGGGGCAGGGTCAGCTCTGAAGCCAAGGGGACATGTGATGGGGTCTGGGCCTCGTGCCCCACCTGCACACTTGGGAGCCAGAGACAGAGTGTCAGGTGGTAGCGAGTGAGGGTTGGGGATCAGGGGTGGGGCTGGGTTGGGTGCAGCTGGGCACTGGCTTTGCTCCCTTGCTCTGCCTCTCCCTTCAGGACATCTGCTGTGCTCCCCAGAGACCCCACCCAGGCCACCACAGGCTGCTGCTGCCTCTACTTTTTGTAGTTGCCAAATTGGATGGCCAGGCGGTCGGTGACGCAGCGGAAGGTGGCTGGCTGCACCTCCCAGTAGGGCACAGGGTTGTTGAAGAGGCTGATGCCGTTGTAGTAGGCCCGCTTGACCCCGAAGCCCACAGGGCAGAAGTCGTTGACGCCCACCTTGGTGATGTTGTTGGTGTGCAGGTAGACGACCTAGGATAGAGAAGCATGGCTGAGGCTCAGTGCTGGTGGTCCAGGGGTTCTCACCACCTTCCACGAGTCTGGCCAGGCCACCACATGGGCATCATTCCATTGCATGGCATCCACACTGCCCTTTGAGAGCCTGGATGTGGTTCTCCCACCGTGGGGAGGAGCAAACAGAAGCTTGTCTATGGTGGTCAGGCGGGTTTGTGACCAGGGGCCAGGAAGAGGGGCTCGGGTGGGGTGTGGTGGGTGGTGGGTGGGAGGTGAGGAGCACATGGGAGCAAAGGATGAGGTTGGGCCGTCCATGCAGGAAAGATAGCACTTTGGGCTCAGAGAGAGCCCTTGGGCTTCCCTCTGAGTTCCCCAGGCTCTGGGCCTGCCCCTAGGGAAGCAGCCTCTCACTCCAGGGACCCGGGAGCATGAGAAAAAGCCTGCAGGGTGACCTTTTCCTCCCAGTCCTCAGGGGCACTTGCCCTCTACGGACCTCCTCAGACTCCCTGAAGCCCCTGTCTAGGGGAGGGGCAGACGGGACAGGAGGGGGGTTGGTTAAGAAGCCCAGTGATGGTGGGAGGTGCTCAGTCTGTAGCAACGCCCTCTAGAGGCGGAGAAGAACCGGCCACTAGAGGACAGCACTCTAGCGTTGCTGCTTCTGCTGATGCTACTACTGCAGCCAGGCTGTCCCCCACCCAAGGGTCAGCTTGAGTCATTTGTACAGTGCGTGGGAATGGCAGGTCTCCCAGCACGAGTGAATGGGGCTGAGGAAGAGACTAAGGGCCAGAACAGGGCTGGGCAAGGCCAAGTTCACCCGCGTGACTGGAAACCAACCCAGAGATGGAGCCCCTGAGAGAACTCCAGGCAAAGCCCTGTACCAACCCCCATCAGCTGACTTCCTGTCCTGGGCTGTCCCTGTCTTTGCACATCTGTGCACTCCCATGCCCTCACTATTCCCTGACCTCCCAGGCCCTGACACACCTTTCTGGTGCCCCACCCACTCGGGAGACCTTCAGCTCCAATATCTACCAGGCCACCTCCTGCTCATCCGTCACAACCTCTCTCCACCTGTGCCCTGCCCCCCTTGCTGTCCGGCTCTCCTCCTCCTCTTCCTCAGGAAAAACTGTTGGCACCGAGGAAGGGGTCCTCGTGACGGCTCATTTTCAGATGAGGAGGCAGAAGCAGAGAGAGCAGGGGGAAGTGGCCAGACTACGCGGCTTGCCACTTGTACAGCAAAGTGCCATTCCACTCTGTACCTGGGCCCCGCACATGCTAGGTCTGCGCCAGGAGGGGCAGAGGGCTGAGAAACTGCCCTGGGGACATGGGCTGCTCTACAGTCTTAGAGAACTCAGCACTGGGGGTTGCCCTCCCCCCACCCCCGCACCTCTTACCTGGAGGAGCTTGAGATCTGGAAGGCCAGTGGGCACCCTGGACAGCTTGTTATTGTCCAAGTGCAGCTCCCTCAGCGTGGGCAGAAAACTCAGGCTCCCATTCTCTATCATTCGAATCTGGTTGTGGCCTAGGCCCAACCTGTGAAGGGGTGGATGAGATGTCTTGTGAGGCCAAAGGAGAGGAGGACTGTGGGGTGGGGCACACCCTGGGTTTCCCAGCCCACCTGTACAACTTGGAGTAGCGGAGCAGGTCCTCCAGCTCGATAGCCTGGATTTTGTTGTGGTCCAGGTGGAGTTCATTCAGGGTCTCAGGAAGATCTGCCGGAAAAAAAAGGGTGCTCTAAGATGAATGCAGGGGTATGGGGGCTGGTGCTGTGTGTAGGGAGGCGGGAGGGCTGCTGAGGCCCTCCCTGAGGAGGCCAGGTGGCTCCAGAAGTCTCCAGGCCCCCAGCTCTGCCCAGTGTGGGACGGAAGGGCTGCCTCCTACCTTTGGGGATGCCGGTGAGCTTGGCCTCAGAGATGCGCAGGTAGTTCAGCTTCAGGCCATCGAAGGCTCCAGGTTCAAAGCCACTGTTCTCCAGGGGATTCCCGCCCATCTCTAGGAGAGAGGCCTCCTCAGCCGCGGAACCAGAGCTGAGCAATTGCCCGCACACCCCGGGGCCTGTTGGCTTCCTGGCTTGGACTGCTAATCATCCACTTCCTAATCTGCCCCTGAAAGCAGTTCCACTGATTTATTGAGAAAATTGTAAATTCCTAGCTGTTCAAGAGCACTAGACCCCAAGGGCACTGGGCCTGGCATCGGCCTCAAGGGCCGGGGGGGAAGAAGAAAGGGAGGGCGGCTGGCTGATGGCATTGGACCTTTCCTTTCCTTCTCTCTATGGACCCTCGGTTTCTCTTCAGCTTGCTTTGGTGGCTCTGGGGCATACCCCTACGCAAGACTCCAGAACGTTCCATGAGACCCATTCTGGCTGGAAGAGGCCCCTCTCCGTGACCCCTCTTGCTGACCGCCAGAGTGAGAACTGTCTGGGGCCGGGGCACACTCACCAATGCAGTTCATATTGCGCAGCCCGCTGAACACGCCCTTGGGCACCTTGCGAATGCGGTTGTCATGGATGCGGAGCTCCACCAGGGAGCTGGGCAAGTTTGGAGGGATCTCCACCAGGTGGTTCTTGGAGATGTAGAGCTTCTGCAGCTTCCGCAGGGGGCTGAAGGCCTTCTCATGGATCTTGGAGATCTTGTTGTTCACCAGGACGAGGGCCTGAGGTGGGGCCGCCATCGGAGTTGAAGGCACCAACTTCCCAGCCCACCCACCCTCTCCTCTCCCTCCTCTGCCACCTGAACTGATGATTATTGGAACTTCATAGATGTCTGAGTCCTAGCTGGGCCTCAAGGAGACCTGTCTGTGCTAGCGGGCAGAGTGTAGAGCGGGGAGCCAGCACTTGGGCCCGGCAATGCCACGACTGCCTAGCATAGCCCAGTGCTTCTCCGAGCCTCAGTTTCCCCATAGAACTCTGTTCTGCTGTGTTCCTGGGAGGAACCAATAAAAGAAAAGGTTTCCTGCCAAAAAGAGAATTGGGCTGAGTGATCCTGTCCTGTACTTGTTGTTGCTGGCACTCACACACGTGACACTGACCCTGGGCACTCCCACCATGCCCACCTCCAGACATCTCTCAGGACTCCATGGTTTTGGTCCCCTCTTGCACCCCACACATATGTGCTCATACTCATCTGGACCCAACCCGTCAGCTGCAGATCGCCCACCTCCTTGCAGCCCCTTGACAGGGGCCGGCGGGCTTACATAGAGGTGCTGGAGACCTTTGAAGTCGTCCTTCCGGAGCTCAGAGATGTCGTTGTTCTGCAGGTCCAGCAGTGTGGTGTCCGGTGAGATCTCCTTGGGCACAGCCTTCAGACCTGGAGGCCAGTACCGCCATCACCAGTGTGAGCCCCGGCTAAAGCCCCAGAGCGGCTCAGAGCACCGGGACTCACACGCACACAGACGTGCACCCAGGGACTCCACCACAGACTGGCGGAAGCTCCAGAGCTGGCCCTTCTCACTCCCTACTGGCTTGCAACCGGACAACTGGACACCCTTCCACACTGAAATCAGGATCCCGAAGCCTGCTTGGGGTCATCCCATCACTGTTCCCACTCTTCCCATACCACAGGGCTTCACATGTCCCTCCCGACCCGACCCCACAACTGACCCAGGTCAGAGCACTGAACAACCCGTAGATGACAGTGGCAGCCGAAAGGACACATGGCGCTGTAGGTGGGCGTGAGGGAGTCCAGGTCCGGGACGCCCGAGGTTGTGTCGGCACCCGAAGCTTCCTCGTCATTCAGCATGGGCAGCCCATCGTCCAGGGTGAAGTCCCAGAAGCCCTTCTGTTCAAAGGGCAAGGCCTGGCTCAGGGCCAGCAGGGACGTGAGGAGCCAGAGGGGCCACATAGTGGACATGCCTAGGAGGCCAGGACAAGGAGAGGTCAGCAGGAGGACTCGGCAGTACCCATGCCCATCCTCTGGGCCCTTTTCTGGCAACTGTCCCAACACTACAGGCTTGGGTTCTATGTGTGTTGGAACTGTATCCTCCATCCATCACTGGGGACAGTCAGACCCTGAGCCTGAGCGGCAGAGGGAAGGGGTGTGGGTAGCCAGGAGGCACCTGGCAGGATGGGGGCACCTCCTTCCACTTCCCTCTGCTCCCAGGAAGGACTTGGCTTCAGTGGGTGATGCAGTGTCTTCCTAGTTAGCGAGTCTACGGCACCCCTCCCCCAAACATACACACCACTGAGTCACTCGGCAGCTGCCTGTGGGGTCAGTGAGGTAACTGGAGAAGGCAGAGAGAGAAACCCAACCATTTGCTCCCCCACGCTTTGAAGATCCCACTGTGGTCAGGGCCAATCCCACATGTTCAAGTCAATGTGGACACAGTCAGGGTTGAGTTAGGGGATTATGAGTCGCTTCATTTCCTGCCTGAGCCCCCCACCTTGCAGTGCACCCACATTTTCCGAAGAAAGTTAAGAGGCCAAGGCACGAGGCTGGACAGGTTGGGGCAAGACCTAGGGTACCCCCAGGGTCAGGGTGGAGAAAGAGGGACATCCTTTAGGGACATCCTTTCAGGCCATGAGTGAAATTGCCAAGGTGGAGGGGGAGCGGCCCCATACTCACTTCCCCATGGCTTCCAGGGACCTCGGCTTCCTCCCCTGGCCCACAAGCCTTCCTCTGGCTCAGCCACGGAGCCCTGGGGCTCCCACATTTGCTCCTAACCTTCCTTCTGCCCATGGCCTGGCCCCCCAGTGGAGTAGACTGCCTCCAGGGTGGCAGACAGGGTCAGGCTTGTCTGGAGGCCCCCCCCAGGCCTGGCAGTAGGGTGAGGTTGGGGGTGACCTTCCCTGTCTGAGCTTGCCTCCAGCACCCACATCTGCCTGCCTCCTTCTTCCTCCAGCAGAGGCCACCCCCCAGCCAGAGGCCCCTCTGCTGGAAGTCTCCATACAGGAAAGAGCTGGAGCTTCCGCCTCTCCCATCACCCCCACCTACAAGGATTTCCAGGGAAATCCCAGCCTCATTTTCCCTATCTGTTAAACAGAAATAACAGTGCCCGCCCAGCTTGCCTCCCAGGCTTGGGAGTGGGGGGCAAGGGGGGGCACTGGGGCTGCCCTGGGTGCCAGGGCCTCCTGCACACCTGAATTGGCTCCACTCCAGGAAGGCCCCTCACTTGGGGCCCATCTAGGCCAGCAAAGGGGTTGTTTGGAGCATCAGTGGGGCTGGGAGCCCCCTGAGCCTGATCGCTGTCTGCAGTGGTGGAAGGGAGGTTCTGGGGTTGGAGGGCTCCGCCCACTCTAGGCCAGCACCTTAAGAGGAGCTTGGCCCTATCTGTTGCTGTTCTGAGCAGGCCCAGTTGACGTGGGGCTGGGCTGGCTAATGGGGCCTAGGGCCACCTCCAGGCCTGAGCACATTGCTCTGCTACTTGAGATTCCCATCCATTATTGTCTTGCTGCCCACTCCTGCACTCCTCCTGCCCCTCCTAGCAGGTCCCATGTCCTGCCCTGGTTCCCACCATCCCTGAGAACAGAGAGGCAGGGATGGAATGGAGTAGTATTTCTGGTAGCCGGTGCATGGAGACCCCAGGGCCCAGGACATGGTTCAGCTGACTAAGCTGCAAAGCCAGCCCCAGAGTGCCCCCGGCAGGTCCTGTCAGCCCTCCTGAGTGTGTGGCCTCCAGTGACAGGCTCAGAGAAGCTACCTGCCCACCCTAGGTGACACAGCAAAGAGAGGGGAAGCACCCAGCCTCCCTGGCTCCTTCGGTCACACCCCAGGTTCTGCCAGCCCCAGGCTGGCCAAGCAGGACCCAGGGGACCCCCAAAAGGCCTTGGCACAGAGTAGGGAGAAGGCCCCGGGCTCGCCTACCTGGAAAACGTGTCCTTCCTTCTTTCCCCAAATTTGCAACTCCCAGGGCAGAGCAGGGCAGCCCTAGGCCTCTCGTGTCTGTTGCCACCTCGAGGGGCCCTTGCCCAGGTGCCACTGGATGCCCAGGGCTGGGAAGAGGAGGAGCGGTGGAAGAGAACAAGAAGGGGTGGATGAAGGCAGGGGAGCAAGAGGAAATGGGAGAGAAGGAGGAGCCTGCTCCCCCCTTGTCTGGCACCCCTGCCAAAGCCGCCACCTCACAGGGGGGATGAGTCAGGGCTGGAATGCCCAGCGGGAGCCTTGGAAGGCTCTGGGATCCACAGTCCACCTGGGCAGGTGGGGGTGGGGTGGTATGGTCTTGCCAGGCCCAGGGGAGACTGTGGAAAGAAGCAGGTATAGATAGGCCCCCTCCAGCCTGTTGGGGCTGGAGGGGGCTGGGAGTCTTCACAGAAAACTCTGCTCTGGCATCTAGCCCCTCCACCAGGGGAGACGATGGAAAAGTGCTGGGAAGGCCAATCAGTGGGTCTCATGGGACCTGCCCTGGGGGGATGGGGACTCTAGAGGAGTTGAGCCAGCTCAAAGCAGCTGTGCCTGATGTCGCTGCATCTGGGGGCCAGGCTGGCTCCAGCGCAAGCTCACTGTGAGGGGAAGGGAAGCTGAGGGCTTGGAGACCTATACCAGGGCCCCGTGACAGAGGCAGAGGACAAGGTTTGGCTGGTTCTCCCCGGTTCCTGGCTGGGCCAGGAAGTGGGCAGGCTGGCCGGGTGGGGGCCGGGCGGGCTTCCCAGCACAGCCCTCATTTCCCCTCGAGGAACTGGCACAAGACTCAGCCAGAACTATGCAGAGGGGAGGGGGCCAGCCGGACACCAAGCCTGCAGGAGGTGGCAAGAGACCCCCACAGAGCCAGAAGGAGCCAGGGAGGAGCCTCGAGGGGATGCCCAGAAGGAAGGCTCCCCTGAATCAAGCGGTTATTATCTCCATTTTATGGAAGAGAAAACTGAGGTCTAGAAACAGGAAAAGACTTTTCCCAAGTTACTCAGCCTGAAACTTGAAGTCCAGCTTGGGCAACTCCAGGCTCTGAGTTTTCAGGCCTCTGCAGTGCCCCTCAGCTCAGCGTAGGGGTAACGGGCATCTCTGGGTGGCTAGCTCTGTACGGACAGTGCAGAGAGCCTGGAGGAGAAATCTGAGGCTGGTGGTGGTCAGGGTGGGGGGCTGTAGGGCTGTAGACAGGCCCAGTTGCCCACTTTGAGCGTGGCCCTTCCTTCTTCCTCATCATCTCCTACCGCACCCCCTTTTCATGCACACACACATGGAGGAGGCAGGAGGGATGAAGCCCAAGAAGTAGGAGGCCCCTATGGACAGATACTGTGAGACTCACGGCAAGTCCCCCCGACCCCACCTGCCACACTACCTGGGCCTCCGGGCCTCAGTTTCCTTTCATTGGCTTCCTTGGGTGTGTCCACAAGAACTGCATGGAGGGCCTCGAGCCCCATCATACTGTGCTCTGAGCTCCCTGGACCCCACCTTCTCAGAGTAAAGGAAAGAAATGGTAATGGCCGTGAGGCCTGGCGCCCACAGGTGTGAACGAGGGAAGAGGCTGGGCTTCCTGGAGCCTGCGCCTCCGGCCCAATAGGGCCCTCCTTGTCTGGCCCTTTGAAAGTCAGCGCAGTCCTCTGAGCAGGACTGCTCCAGGTCACAGCCAAACAAGACGCCTTGGCAGCCTCTGAGAACATGGAGGGGCCGTGCCAGGCATTCAGGCCAGGCCAAGGGCGGCGGGAGCAGAACTTGAGGTCTGGCATGCCCTGGGAGCTTGCCGGCAGATGTGTGGCCCACAGCTGCCAAGTTGCAGACGCCAGGCACTGTCCCGTGGCCTCAGCCTGGGGTGTCTGGCCTCACTGAGCCACCCGACCTGAACTCTGACATGCCTGCCACCTTCCACTCAGCCCTGCAAGGCCCCTGGGACTGTGTGGGTGGGGAGGGGTGAGAAGGAAACAGGATATTTAGGGTGGCCTTCCTTCTCCCCGCCCCACCCCATTCACCAAATCCTCTGGGTCTAGCTTCAACTAGCAGGCCGTAGGCAGGGGTACTGCCCAGGCTGACACCAACTGCTCCCTACTCAGCCCACCTGGCCTCCATCAGCTCTAATCAGCACTTGAGTGTCAACCAGAGAGAGGGGATGGGTGCCATCCACGGGTGTGCTGAAGCCCATGTGTGTGCGTGCACGTGGGAATGATTGCATGAGGGCCTGGTGGCAGGAGTGGGGCGGGGTTGCACCCTGAGCCCCACCCTGTCTGCGTCTGTACCCTAGCCACCCTTAACCCATCACCATTGCCTCAGCATGCCCTCCAGGCTACGAGAGGAGCAGATGCCAAAGTGTGGCTTGCTAGGGCAGATCTTCCCTGTTGCGGCCCTGGCGCTGATGGGATGACTGCACAGAGCCAGGTCTTCAGGGATAGACTCTACCTGGACATGGGCATCAGAGACCGCAGGGAACCAGCCCATTGACTGCAAAGGGCTGGCACTGGGGAGGTGGCGAGGTGGCTGGTGCTGGTCAAGCCAGATCTTCCTCCTCACAACATCAAGGAAAGCCAACATGCCTGCCCCACCTCTGCCAGGAAACCTCTGGAAAGCAGGAGCGTAGGAGTCAGGCAGCAGCTGATCCAGGTCAGCTGGGGGTCCTGAGTTTCCTAGTCCTTCCACGCCTGAGCTGTGTGTCCTTCCTACTCCTACTCACTAAAGAAATCCTGAGCTCCTCCTCACCACGTTCTAGAATCTTTGAGGAAGAGGGAGGATGCTATTACCTCCTACGGCGGGGTAGGGGACTCGAGTGATTTCACAAAGACCGTAAGAAGAAAGCACTTGTTTTTACCACTTGACAAGTGGGTAAGCTGAGGCTCAGAGTTTGCCCAAAACTCTTGCCCAAGGCCACACAGTGGGGAAATGATAGAGCTGGGACTCCACCGTCTGTCTGTCTACTTGCCCATGTGTCTGGCTCCACTCTCTACCATCAATCACAGACTTTGCTGCAGGCCCCAAAGCTACAAGATCCCAGTCTCCTTGGGCTGTACGGGGGCAGAGCAGCCCCTGGGGCCCTGGAGAAGACCCCTTGGCGGCTCCTTCAGACTGTGGGGGAAGCGAGGCTTCTGGAAAGCTGGGACCTGCTCTGTGGGTCCCATACCCCCTTGCTCGTCTCATGAATCCTTTGGAAACATGGCACCTCTCTCTCTGGTTGCCATCATCAATAGCTTCCCACTGCCTGAGGGGCCCACCCCCTTTGTTGATGGGTCTGGTGGCAATGTTTCAGTGTCAGCACACCCACCAAGCCAGCTCTGCCTCAGTCTGCAAGGAAGTCGCCTGGAAAAGCCATCATCCTGGCAGACCAAGGATGTTCCCCTGAGCATTTTAGGTCCCAGCAGACATCAGACCCCCTCTCCCCGTCACCCATGGTGATGTTCTCAGCCTGGCTCCCAGAGCCTGGGGCCTTGCCTGCCTAGTTCTCTCACTGAGCCAGACCAAGGCAAGAGAGTTTGGCCAAGCTCTCACAGCAGGAGAGCTGCCAGGCACCCCGGAAGGAGGACTATAGCCTCTTCTCTTCCTGGGTCCAGGGTTTCCCGCAGCTCCTTCCCTGCACGGGGTCCGAGCTCTCCGTCAGGGGCTCTGGCTGGGGTGGGACCCAGCCGTCCGCATCCAGTCCGAGGCTCTGGGACCCGTTCACTTTCAGCCCCTCCCAGGACTCCTGTGCTGCAGGCCTCTTTGCAGCTGGGTGGCCTCTAGGATCCAGGGGACCATAATGAAGGCCCAACTGGGACTGTGGAGAAGATCAAAGTCACACTCGCGTCTGCCTCTTGAACTTTCCTTGTCTCCTGCAACAGGGCCGCCAGAGACAGCCTCTCTCTGCCTTCTGCCCCTCTCCTTCAAGTCCACCTTCTGTTCTCCATATCCCCAATCTTGTTGTCACTCAAGCCTCCTACCGTTGTGTCCACCATTGGCCATCCGACCCCCTAGAGGAGAGAACTGTGTGAGTTCAGAGTCACACAGAGTTTGGGACCTTTCCCAGCCCACTGCCTCCTAAACCTGAGAGATGTGTCACCACAGGGAGGGGACAGCCTCTAGTCATTGGTGCCACCCCTTCACTGAGCTCAGGGGTGTCAATGATGTTGGTGCTGCTCTGCAGCCTGCGATGGGAGCTGAGTAGCATCCGAGAAAGCTGAAGCTTGTGGGCTCTGGGCAAGAAGACACCCTCTAAGGCAGCCCCAGGAGCTACCCCGACCCAAAGCAAAGACGGTGGAGGGACAGGTTAAACAGGTTGAGGCTGGGGTAGCTCCCGGGAGCCTGAAGTCCCAGTGGGGTCAAAGGAGGCCCTGGGGACACTGGAGCTATAGGCTCCAGGTGGGGGAAGGGCCTTTACCTTGGGACCTCCCCTTTGCAAAGTGGAGAGATGAAGCACAGCCCCAGGGAGATCTGGGAAGCTGGTCTGGAAGGCTGGAGAAAGGCCTCGTCATGGGACTGGCCAGTTACCCTCAGCGGGCCTCAGGCCTGGGGCAGGACTGAACAAACACCTTCACCACCACCCCAAAGCAGTCCCCTCTGCTCCTCCCCCACTGGCTTCCTTTAAGATGGGATTTACAGAAAGGGTTCTATGGATGGCCTAGTGTGTGAGGGAGGGGAGGGGACAGAACTGTCAGGGTCTGGGTCTGCCTGCCTTCAGAGGGGACCCGTGCTAACCCCCACCCCACAGCTCACAGGAGGGTACCCCGGAGAGCCACTGCTCCCCTCATGCCTCGATTTGAGGCAAGCCTTTGGGCTGGTGTGCCCCTCCCACCAGCAGGGCCGGCAGAGATGGGGCAGCTCCGGGCAGGGTTCAAGCTCTCTTACTCTGGGAGAGTAAGAAGGAGGAGCAGGAGGGAGTTTCTGTGGGCCTGGGAAGTTCTCTAACAACCAGGGATGTTGGTGGATGAGCAAAAATGGTGAGGGGTCCCGGATGTGCCCCTGCAGGCACAGGCTGCAGCAGGCGGGGCTTCAGAGACCAAGGTGGTGGTGAGAAGAAAGGGAAGCCCCCTTGGAAGCCTCTGCATGCAGATCCTCGCATGTGGACTCATTACAACGCCCTCTTCTGGAGACTCGATGGTGGTGCTGGAAGGGACATTCCGTTGTCTTGAGTGACGGTAGGATGTTACTGAAGAAAGGAAACTCTTGTCTTATAAACACCCTCTTTCCTCCTTTCCTTCCCTATTCATGCCCCTTCAGTGGGCCAGGGCTGCCAGTGGGATGGGGGGAGAAATTCGAGCCAATGCTCTAAAGTCACTCCGCACAATAATCAGAGGGTCGCCACCCCAAATTTCTGGGCCTCTAAAATGGACAGACACAGAACTGCCATCAAACCCATTGGTGAAGGGGCTGGGCCTCCAATTCCCCTTCTACACAATGAGGACCCCGGACCCTGCTCCAGGGTAGGCAGAGCACGAAAGCATTGGGAAGATCAATGCCCATTGGAACCTGGGTCCTTGAAGTTTGAAGGTGAGAAAGAGCAGCCACTCAGCAGCCTGGCTCAGTACAGCAGCCCTCTCTGCTCCCTGGTTCCCAGCCTGCTCCTGCTGCCTGGCTCCAGTGGCTTGGAGGAGACTCTATGCCTTCCTTTCAATGCACCCACACGGTCCTGCCCTCACAGGCCCCTCTATCCATGGTAACCACACATAAGCAAGCTGCATGTGAAGAGCTCTACCCCAGCACCAGCTCTCCCAGGGTGTGGATGGCACAGGCAGCGGCACGTCACCAGGAGGCGCTCACCTGCACATAGGCAGTTGTGTGCACGCGTTCTCACTCCACATGAACCCGTACACCTGGATATAAATCCCTGGGACCCTTCTTTGCTCACACATAGGCAAGGAGCCTCCTGAAGAAAGGTGGGACTGGCCACATCTGCAACCTGAGCAGCTCTTCTGACGACTATTCAAGAACAATCTCCCTGGCTTGAGTGAGGTCTGCCCCATGTAACGCTACCCACGTCCCTGCTCTGGAGGACCCTGGGCCTCCTGCTCGGCTCAGTGGCCCTCACTAACCAGTGCCCAGGCCCCAAACCCACCCATGGTGTAGCAAGAGGGGTGCACTCATTCCCCAACCTTCCAGAGTACTCAGGGGCACACCCAGAGAGCTTCGTTCTCCCTTGCTCCTCTCCTGGGTCCCTTGACAGGCCCCTTTACACGCCAGCCATCTCCAAAGCTTGCAGGACAGGGGCCAATGGCCCTGCCAACTCCCACTCTGATCGTCATGCAGTACACTTGACCACAGGCTATCATCATTAGTGCTCAAGTGACTTTGAGGGTTCCCTAGGTGGAATGGGGTCAATAGCCAGAGTTCGTCAGTCAGAAGCCCTGGGTTCTGACCCCAGCTCTGCCCCTGACTGGTTGAGATTGTGAGTAGGTTCCTAGCTCTCTCTGGGCCTCAGTTGCCCCCTCTGTACAATGGATGGAGTCGGGGTGGGACTGGCAGGAACCACTCCTCCCTTCCCAAAGGGCCCTGGGTGCAACCTCGTAGCTATACTTTGTTTCAGACCTGGGGCTCTCTCTCCATTCCAAAGATGCCCCATGCACCCGTGGCTGGGCTGCCTTTAGGAGACAGGGCACCTCGTCAGGGAGCTACTGAAGCTCACCTATCCCTAAAGGTATCCCTCCTGGGACGATGGTGTACCAGCTCGGAAGTGGGACTGTGGCCCCACATTTACCCCAGGGTCCTCAGAAGCCCTATGGGGCCCCAAGCCATGCCTGCTCAGGATAACACAGCACAGTTGCCTGAGTTTCTCTCCGCCTGACCCCCAATTCTGAGTCCCAATCAATCGGGGTTCTGGGGAGATGGGATTGAGCCACCCAGGCAGCCCCACCAAGGGCCCCGGTGGCCAGGGCTCTGTGGACCCACACCTCGCCCAGAAGTAGATAGATAGAGGCAGGGCATTAGCCTGTGGGTAAGCGAGGAATATCTGGGCAGGGTGCCTGGGGCGTGCCTGGAGAACCAAGTCTCTGAGCCCCTGCCAACGTCTGGTCCCAGGCGGTGGGGACAGCTCCCTGGCCTGAGCTCCGGCGAGTACCTAAAGGTCCTCCTGACCTGAGCCAGGAGAGAAACCCTGAGCAAGCGAGGAGATGCCCAAGCATGCCGAGAGAGGCCAGCGGGAGTGCAGGGTACTCCTGGAGCCTTGGAGTGAAGGGTGAGGGCAACTGGCAGAGCTGGGGTACCAGCCACCCAGCCACGCTTTGGTGATGCTCTGGGGCGGCAGCCAAGGGGAGGAAGCCCAAGGGGGAGGCAGAGAGGGCAGACATGGAGCTGAGCTGAGCGAGGTCAGAAGGGAGAGGGAAGGGGGTGGAGAAGGCGTCTGGAAGGAGGGGAATAGGCGCAGAACCGGGACAAGGACCGAGGGGGCCGCAGGGTGGCGATGAAGGGGCACGGACCAGGAGCCTGCAGCAGTGCCGTGGGAATCCGCAAGCAGACTGGGGACAAGAGAGGGCGGTAAGGGAGCAGGGGGACAAGGACAGGGACATGGAGGGGCAGCATAGGGGCAGTAAGGTCAGGGTCGAGGACATCTTGAGAACAGTGAGGGGGCAACAGAGCCAGGGATGCGACATCGAGGGCAGCAGGGACAGTGAGTGTCTGGTGTGGGCGGCTTACCTGGGGAGAGGAAGCACTGGGTGTAGACCGGCTAGTTGGCAGGCTTGGGTGTCCAGCAGACCGTGTGTCTGTCCGTCAGGCCCTCCAGGGCAGCTGCTCACTCCTGGGCAGTTCGTGGAGAGAGGGAGACTGGAGGTGGGAGGG